GCGTCAATAAAATAATATCTGTATAGGCTGCCTGTTTACATATCGCCCCAAGACATCATTCTTGGTTATATTCAATTGATATTTTAATTTTAATCACAATACTATTCATATTTTTTTTATAATAAAAATTCAAATAAAATTAAAAAAACAAAAATGGCTATCGAGATTTTTCATTAAATCGTTTAATATAAAGGTAATAAACAATTTTTAGTGAATATTAACACCCAAAAAAAAATCCCTTCCTAACAATGTCAATTTTTTATTTTTACAGGAAATAAGTAAACACTTGAAATTTTTTGATTTTTTTAAAATATTTTCCAACGTTAAATTTTAAGGGCTATAAAATGATATATAATTTGTAACTTTATCTTAAGTATTTAAAAAAAAACAAGATTTATGAAATCACGCACTTCAAGATTTTCGACTTTGAAAGCGTATATCTTTGGATCTGGTTGAGCTAGCACTCTAAACTTTTGATTTTATTAACATTTACAACATAAATAACTAACATGCCAAGTTTCATTCATTTTTGAGATGGTCGGCTGAAAATCTCGTTTTTTTGATCGATTTGACGTGGAATCACCCAAATAGAAAACATTGACGAGTATGCGTTTGTAAAAAAAATTCTGGCATTTTCATCTACTTAACCCATGCCTATGTATTTTATCTTGTCGTTATCGTTTTAATACACACCATCAAAGCTGTTAAAAAATATCTAGATAAAGATATTGAAGATATATTTTTTTTATTAATCATGTAAAGTGTGCATATTGCCAAAATTAAAAATTATTCGTTACAACGGACATAGCCATAAATATTGCCCATATTTAAAATAGTAAACACTTTTGGTGAATAAACTAAAATGCACTTGTCATTCGCAAAAGCGAATTGGGTTTTTTTGAATAGAAAATATTGATTTTTTTTAAAAATAGATGATAAAATAAAAATCAAGTTAAATATCATCGGTAAAAAATTTACGGAACAACACAGTTGAGCTCTGCAAGAGATGTCGGAAACCCATCCTGGATATTAAAGACTATTATCTAGGGCTAAGGGATGGCGTAAGAGGTGTCCGACCCCACAAATAAATATTAAAAAAAGGGGAGTTGAATGAAGCCTGAAAAATTTGACTCGTAATTATTTATATCATAATTATTCAGTATGCGATTCTATTGATATGTTCATCATTAAATTTGGTAAGGCCATAGTTTAATGGGTATATATACTGATTCATTTTTTGCATTTTAAATGAGCGCGTTTTATTAAATTTAATGATCTGATTTGACCGAAAATGCATTCCTATATTTGCATATACCCACCCAATAAATTTCAGACAATTTTATGATAAACTTTAATTTCTAATAATTTTTTCCTATAAATTGAAATTTCTTCAAAAGTTCATTTTAAAATTGTCTAGATTTATAGGGTGGGTATTACAAACCTACTGGAATGTATTTCCAGCAAAATGAGATTTTTAAATTTAAAATAACGCGCTCAATTAATGATTTAAAATGCACAAAATAAAACAATACCCAGCAAACTATCGCCTTACCTTATATTCTTTAGAAATTTTTTCTATATATAAACAATGATAGCATCTTTTTTCGATATATCAATCATAAATTATTTTTTTTGAAATTCGATTGTATTTTAACTTTACTACTTATATTTAAACTGAAAAATTTTATGTATACAAACTAAATAAAATGCAACTTTATATGAATACTGATTAGATTATGGGGGGTTAAATATACTTTTATTTAACCCTTTCGTGCCCGACATATTTCCCGTGAACAAAAATTTTTTTTTTCTAAAACTGAGTTAAATAAGACTCAAATAACACATTTTCAACGTTTTTTATTTTAAAAAGTGTATATATATAGAATTATAAAATGTTACCAATTGTCATCATTGGGATATTCTTATGTAAAAAAATATACAATTTATTTTGAATGATAAGAAATAAAACAATTGCGATTTTTATTTAAACATAAAGATATTTTACATTTTAAACATTCAAATCTAGTATAACCATTTTTGCAATTCTTGCATCTTTGTCTGTGAGCCGCAGAGGGCCAATGCCCTATTTTATCGAATCTAATATCTGGGATTGGATGAAAACTATTCACTTTCTTTTTTCAATCTTTAAATTATGTTTACCTTCTTTTCCATAATTTTCCTTTCCAGCCATCATTAATCCTTTAGTTATCCGAGCTTTAAACGCTAAAAGAGATATATATTTATCATCTTTCTGTTTGATGTGGCGTCTATAGAGTAACCACGAATTCACCACACAGGAATCTAATAAATGAAAGAAAATTCGCATGTAAAAGCGCTTCCATTTTATGTCAATTCTGTATAGTTCAATTAACATATCATGGAGATCCACTCCGCCCATACCAGCATTATAATCTTGAATTATAGCCGGAATTTCGACATTAATAAAAGATTTTTCAGATACCGACCATCTTTTCGTTCGTGATGTGAAATTTATACCCATAAATGATGATATCATGATAACCGATTTGTTATCAAACCATTTGCAAATTATAATATTATTATTAGAATCCACTTTATAATCAAGGGACCCTCTTCCTTTTTTCTTTAAGATTTAATCATCAACCAGATGGCATCCTAATAATCGATTAGATCTAATGGTCCCCGACATGATAAAGCCATTATCTTTGAGCGCAACTGCTAAATTATATGAAGAAAAAAAGTTATCCATGTAAATTTTATGATTTTTATGTGGGGGAACAGTTTCTAATAGTCGTATAACAATATCTCCGCTAATTCACATCAAAGTTTTTTTTTATATTTGTGCATTTTCCTAAATATATTTCGAAATCATATAGCATTCCAGATGATCCACATAAAGCGAAAATTTTAATTCCCCATTTATGCGGTTTTGAGCTTATATATTGTTTAAATTCACATCGCCCTTTGAAGGGGACTATCATTTCATCAATTGATAATTTTTCCTCTAATTGAATCTTTCTCATGTTCATTTTTAATGCACTAATAAATGGTCTTAGTTTGAAAAGTTTATCGTAATTAGGCTGGCCCCTAAGGATTATATTATTATTATCATTAATATGAAAGTATTTTCTCAATTCCAAGAATCTGTTTCTTGTCATGCATTGAGAAATTTGAGGAATCACTGTCTCTATAGCCCAATATTGCCTTATTGATGGCAATTTAACAATGCCCGTATAAAGGTGAATTCCGAGAAATTTTTCAATTTCACTACTTTGTATTTGTTGATTTGCCAGATAATTGAAAAGAATAAAGTTTGCTCTACTAAATTGTTAATAATATAATCGTCTATAAATTTTTTAAAATATTTGTAAGGCGAAATTTCCTTATCAGGTGGAGGCAAAAATTCTTGTTTGAATTCTGTATTATATTTATGTAAATCCTTATTTCGCCATAGGGTTTTCCTATTACTTGGGATAATATCATTATCATAATTTTCCAGTTCCAACCCAATATCTGGTAAAATATCATAGGTCATATTTAGATCAACTACTGTGGCATTTTCAAAGTCATCATCCTTCTCAATATCTACATCAGATATATCTCCCTCTGGTATAATACATGTTGAGGTCATCTAAAAATTATTTATAAAATTTTTAAAAAAATATAAAATAAAATTTTCACTTTCTTAACTTTTTACAAATATTATAGTGGCTTGCTAAATGGAAAATAGCCTATAGTCAATTCTTACTATATCATATTTTCAATATTTAATTTTAAAAAATTTATGGAAAAAATTACATAAGAAAATCCCAATGTTCCCAATTTAGATTTTCTTTAAAAAATCATATAAAAAATAGTTATTGTTAATTTTTTTTTTACTAAACATGAAATACTAGTAATAATCTATCATAAAAATATTATTTACCTTTGATTTATATATATTTATACAGAATGGTAATCGATGTAAAAGTGTAAAAATTTTGGCGCCTAAAATACCTAACTTTGAACTTATATTCTGATATAATAAAATAATAATTTTGACAGGTTAATGATAAAATATGAAAGAATAAATATTGTTTTGTAAATTAATGTGTCTAAATAGCAACCATTCGTTTTTTAAATATAAAAATTAATTGATTAAAAATTTTGATGACAAATGATCTCGCTGGGCGCGAAAGGGTTAAGGTGATAATATGTGAATAAATACACATAATTTTTAATTGTTTCCTAGATTTTATAATATTTAAACACATATAAATTTTTTTTTATTCGAGCTCGGGTTGGACCTAAAAAAGTGTGCTCGGACTTGGGTCGGACTCGGACATAATTTTGTTAAAATTCGGGCTCGGGTCGGGCAGCTAAAATTCACTTCGCAGGGCTCTAAGCACAGTCCTAAAATTAATTTTATTCATTCCAAAGTTTGATGGGCGTTAAAATTTAAATTATTATGAGTAAGGGGATTGAAAAAATATAATATTAAATCTTTCGATTATGATAGTCGCTGTGTTTACCCCAAGTCTAATCAAGTTAAAAAAAAATTTCATGCTGTGTTGATTGTTTCTATTTCTTCAATATTAATCATTCCCCTGCATTTTATTTTCGAGGTAAATTGATTTATAGCTCTACCGTTACTCTGGTTGTGTCTGGCGACAAGGTAATATACTCTGTTAGCCCTTCCTTGAGAATAAAATATCATTATGGGCCCAAACATTTGTAATAATGTCCTTCTCGACTCTCCTGATTGATTACCCAATCTCCATTTAGTAAAACCGTCAAAGAAGTTAAGGAAGATAAGACGATAGGGCGATTACGACAAATTTCTCAATTTTAGCATACAAAATTAGATTTTCTACATTAAAAATTAAAACCCAATTTTGGAACTAATTGATGATATACAACCTTTAAGCTTGTTTAATTATTATTTCCCCACCCAGAATATATTCACCATATTTATAATTTTTATTTCTATTCTAAGCTTCCAACCCCCTACCCACTCTTCTTATTTTATAAAATATTTATACTTTTGTTCGTCCTCTCTAAGAATGAGCTCCATTCTATGAGTGGTAATCGTATCAGGGTCACAAATAACGTGCCCCAGAGTGTAGCCGGTTCCACTGATATTATTAAGAGCCAGTTTAACCCTAATAACACAACCTCGTAAGCCGTAGGGTTCGCTTTTAGACGCTTCAATAATTTCCTTAGAAGCTGTTTCGGCAACCAATCCTGGTATTTTCAGGTTGAGGTATTGCTGGATAGAAAATATTCCATCCGAGTGGGGGTTCATTACATTGTTCGAACTAATATTACCGACGTTGATGTCTGTTAAATTTGCGTTTGAGGAAGAATTAGACAGATAGGTCAACTGAGGAGTAGCGTAATGAGGGGAAGACCGACGCCTACGAAAGTTGAAGAGGGAAGCATGAGGTAAGTGAGGAGAGGGATGAGGGCTAGGAATGGTGCTATCCAAATGAGAATTAGGCTTATTATGTCGACTAGTCGATTTGAAGCGTTTTAGAGATCCGTCCAAGCTATTCACTGATATCCCATCTAATTTTTTTTTATGAAAAAACAATTTTAATAAAACAAATGTAAATATTAAAGATAAGATTTCACATTTATAAATTATTTTTAAGAAATCAGAAAATGAAATTTAAGGAAATGAGCCAGATAATTTTTGTTGAAAAATATCAAATACGAATACAAGACCTATTTCAATATATAGAAGGGGGGATTAATCGGCTAAGTTCCCAGATTGTAAAACTTATTTATATAAGGGTCATTCCATAATAAATCAACCCCTATTCGGTCGACCCCCTTTCGATTTTTTTAAAATTTAGTAAACAAAAAGTTTAATTTAACTAAGAGATAGCCAAAATTTTAGCCTTCTGATATTTATATTTTTGGAGATAGTAGGGTTTAATGTGGCAAAAATGACGTATTTTTAACATTATCTGCTTTCATTCAATTAAGCATATCCTAAAAACTACATCATTGTAAATAACAAATTTAATATCCAAATTATGTGATTAAATATTTAGATCAAATTTTTTTTTTGATTTTTCCAATTTCCGGTCAAACGATTTTTTTAGAAAATACGACCTTCAATAACTCTTACTTTATATTTTTTTAAAAGGGACGCGGCCAGTTAAAGATATTTTCCCGAAAGGGCGTCTTTGTAAAAAATTATATAAGAGAAAATAACAATAAATGGGGATTTCGGTCAATTATAAAAATAAAATTGTCTATCGATAAAAGAAATTCAATTTTTTACATTATTTATGATTTATTATAAAATTATTTGCCCATATAACATGTATTTAATGAATATTCATAAAATATGTTCAACCAAGTTTAGAGTTCTTGAATATATGAATCAGAATATTGTGCATTTCATATATGGCGCCCTAAATATTAAAAATAATTGATTCAATATAAATAATCTAATATATAACACTTTTAAGATTATAATTTTTCGGTAGCGCATTAACTTTCTTGTGACGACAATGTATAATACGGCCAGTAGCAGTTAACGGTGAAACTATTGTTAAGATATGACATTTTGGCCAGTGAGTTTCTACTTGGAAATGTAAAGGAATTAGAAGGTTGGGTGTAATAACTTTATATATATTTCTTCCTGCTTATGATTTTTCCTCAAAACAAAGGCTAACCACCTATTAGAATCAAACACACGTTTTGTATCCTGATATATCTCCCAAATTATACTTTCATCATTATATATATAATATTTTATAGTTCTATTGAATTCGAATACATCTTACTTTGTCAAAATCACGGTGTAAATTTGTGTTCCAGGTATCGATCTAGTTTTTTTTCTCTGAATAATAGTTCTTCGTTATCATAATTTTTTTGGGTCATATATTCAAAATATATAATATTATCTTTAGCAAATTCGTAAAATTCATATTATGATGTTATTTGCTTTGAATAAGGCCATTGTAAACTTGCTATAATGGCTAATTTAACAGTGCCACCAATCCCATCACAAGCACTTTTTCTATGTAGCAGGAAAATGTCATTCCGCCTGTACCCCAAAATCCATCACATGATGGCAAATATTAATAAATTTTTTAAGATTTTTGTACTGTGCAGTGGATCCATCAAAATAAATTATTTTTTTTATTTGGCATACAAAATTTATTAATTAAAAAATTTACCAATGTTTTTGGAAAATAATGTACTGCTATTGCGTTGCAAAGATTCGGATATCATTACGTCATTTAGCAATAAATATTGGCATAATTATCTTTATAATAAATAACAAAAGAGTCAACAGTGGATTGAGCCCTATTTCAATGATAACTTTGTATTTCATCCTGAAGTATAAAGCTATAGTTTTTTTAAATTACATAAAATTAAATATTGGCTTCGTCTAAGTTCAATTTTAGATGGTTTGGATATAAAAGAATGGGGTAAAGATTTCATTTTTTCAAAAAAGGCATGGATAAATTTATCTACTGTGGTGATTGTTCCAAGAGTGGTTTAATTCCCACCCTGACTAACCCAAAATTTGTGAGGAGCCAAGAGAAAGCTAAGCATTATGAACAGTTTTTATATTAACTTGTTAAAACGTTGACCTCTACTCGATCGATGTCTAAAAAGGAGAGAAAAAGAAGGCAGAGATCGATGCAATCAGAGTATCTATGGAGGCCAGAAACGAACGATAAAGCCAACATTAGTTCTGGAAATGACGTTAGGAACGATAACAGAAATTATAAATAGACTTTCTGCCGTCGAAAACACCGTTGATTATGGAAAGTAGACCTGTCAAAGACACGAGGATACTATCGCTCAACGTTACCCATACGATGTTTCGCCAATCACTGATTATAGAACTCAGGGTGGAATCTATGGTGTCAGAAGAAGAGCTTAGAACCCTTAATATCATGGGAGAATCGGATAAACCTAGGTTGATCAGAATAGCAAAACACTTCTTAAATGCAATTTGCCTAGCAGAGAAATCACCTGGGTTTCAGCTAAAAGTAAGAGACGTATATGTTTCCGTCCTTGAAAATCGCAGTGAGGGAGTTCAAGGCTTACATGTCCCTGGAATTCCTGAGGGACATTGCTATCAAATCCCACGTCTATGCGAAGTCGATAGCCTAGGGCTGGGACCACATAAAGGGGGAAGCCCAAACAACGATGTATAAATTCGGAGGTCCGCCACCGATGATGCCGGAGACGCCCTTTCGTGCAAATCAAGCCTCTGGAGCAGGGCGAAAGGCGGGGTCAAAGAAACAAGGCTCTTTACCCCCTATGACGAGTCCAACCAACCTTCCACCAGCGCTAACTTTAACAATTCGTGATTTCCTCCACCCCCCCCCCCCACCCCCGACTTCGGGGTATCTCTGCCATCGGCCGTAACGAGGTCCGTCAGTGGATCAGGGATGTGAGGCGCCGAAGTTTTCACCTCACAAGAGAACAAGCCAGGATGACCGTGAGAAGGAAGACGACGACTCTAGTTTAGGAGGAGATTAAATAGTAGATCTCCCAGTTACGGAGCAATTGGATTTGAACGGGGAACCTATCATCATGGCGAACATATTCTCCAACAGGATTTCCCCATGCGGCGGTCCTACCACCGTCACCGCCGACGGTGGACAGCGCATCAATCAGAAGGTCCATAAGCTGCTTAGGCTAATGGGCGTCGACACCACGGAGAGCCTAGAAGTGGATTTACAGGTTAGATTGGGACTATCGGCTTCGATCCTGAAACCCCATTTACTAGGAGGATAGCATTGAGAGGATTTTTGACAATCAAGCTATCAACGATCACGGAGGATAATTTAAAAATCGTTTTATTCCGCTCGCCTCCAAATACGTCCCGATCACCACCCAGCTAATAGAGGCAGGGGTGAAAGAACAAACAGATATAGCATTTTGTACCCCTTATTACTAATTCCCAAGCAAGATGGAACTCCCAGAGTTATCTCGGATTTCCAAGAAATTTCATCAAATACCCATTCCGGTTAAAAACCATCCCTATGTTGGCAGTAGCCAGCAAAGCGACTAAAATCGATTTGAAATTAACCTTCTATTCTATTAGCGCAAAGTAGGAGACGATTCTTTGGGTTCGCTACATCGACAGCCAAATATCGATATAAAACCCTTCCGATAGAAGCTGGCTTCTCTCCTTACTCACTATAAAATATTGTATTGGACGTTTGTGCGAAGTCTGTCAAAAGAGCAAACTACTCGGTATATTTCGACATCATAATTTCCCATTCAACCGATCACTTTATGTTCCAGGATAAGATAGCATTCCTCGACACGGCAACGGCTTGGGGATTAAAGGTAAACGACACTACGGTTCTGTCTATTGATCCTCTATAAACACAGCCTGCAAACAATGGCCATAGAGCGAGGCTCGATTACATTATTTTCAAGAGTTTTCGCGCATTATTATGCTACCATGCTAAATACTGAGGAGGCTGCACCAATTGATTACTTAAAGGTGTACCCCAAAGCAGTGGTTGTAATAGCGGCACTAATGAAGCCCTATCCTTTCGTTTTTCAGGTGAATGCAGTCATAAACGTATACGCAATCACCCTCTCTAGTAACAGAGCCTAAACGTTAGTCAAAAAAGGTGGGGGGGGGGTCTAGATAGCCGACCTGCAAACATCTAGAAACAAGGATCATGCTATCAATCGGTTTCCTCGATTTTGTCCACTTAGCAAGGAAACAAACATAGATCGGATAACCTAGCGGATGAGTCTAGCAGATCCTGGATAGAAAAGGAGCGAGCTCACAACACCTTTCGAAGGTCTCCCCAGAATCGATGACGCGCTGCCATGCAGCGTCAACCCCAATCCAGGTGATCGATGAGATGGATGCCCTAAGAGAGGATGCGATAGCCAGCTTGGAAAGGGACTTCAACCCGGCCATCTTTGACGAAACCCTAAATTTGACGACGGATGACGCGTTAGAGAACACCGATGCGAGGATCACCACCAAGGAACAGTTTCAGGGCGTCGAGGGATGAGCACTCCCTCCCCCGCAATAGCCATATTCTTATATCATATATTCGTCTCATTTAAAATGAAGACAAAAATTTTCTTTCCAGAATTATACATCTTACTGAGTTCGGAAATTGGGCAAGGTAGACTGACAAGAACTAATGTTCTTTGCCTATATATAGGTATACGCAATGTTAAAATTATTCATTTTTATCAAATTAATTATTTTTTAAAAATATTGCGTAACAACCTCAACCTGACTTACCCAAATTTCCGAAAACCAAGGATCATAATATACTTATATATTTACAACATTTATATGTAGTTACTTTTTCAGCCGCATAGGCCTGTATATACTTTTTCAGCCGCGATTATAAAACCGTTTTTGTTATACTTTAGTTATATATTTATAAATAAACAATAAAGTTAAAAAACAGGCCCGGTGTGGCCATGGGATCAGGCCTTTTGGCGCTGGTAAAAAATCGACTTTAGAAATCCGATCCAATTTTAGTTTTGGATTATTTTATGATATTTATTTGTAATGATTTAAAATCAAATTATTAAAACTGGCT